GACTGCAGTCAGGGGAGCTGCTTTTAATGATGGCATCGTAAAAGAGCGTTTTACGGTATCTCCTCCTTGATTATCGCTCGGGGACGAATTGGCGCGACCCAATAATTGCGCCGCAAACGGCAGATATCCTTCGCGCCTATGAGTCCCTCAGTCCCTCTACAAACATCCCTGAGAGGCTTCAAGCGCTTCGTTTTCCTCGTCGCATACCCTGTCCCGCGACTGCAAGTCGCCCCTGCATCTGCAGTTTCCGAGAGTAGTCTCTCAGAAATATCCTCTTTTTGCACTTTATCCCCGAACCTCGCCGACACACTCCGGAAGGTCCGGCGGAGCTCGCCTCCCAAGGACTGCATGTTACGACGCGTCCCCGAACAACGTCAGCGTCGCGAAGTGGGCGACCGACGAAGCTCAGAACGGAGCCTCGATCGGGCCATGCGAACGTTATCTGAGTAGTCGCATACTTGCAGCGTAATTCAGGCTCTGGAGGGAAGCTCGGTCATTGGAGTGAGCATTCATTGAGGCTGTCAGACGGACATGAGCCAGAAAGTATCTGAATAGCTGTATTTGGGCGACAAACTCAATTTGTGGCTCAGTAGGTCAAGCATCCGGTCGGAGTAGAAGCCAGAAAAACAATGGGGCTGGCCATCGGAACGGGGAACGTCGAAGCGGGTCATGGCATCGGCTCTATTGCAAATGAGCGCGAGAGCGCCTTTTTTCCATCGAGCTTTGAGGTTGGCAGCACGATAAAGTGGATCGATTCCCAGTCTAGATCACTCGATATTCGCTCAGGCCCGTTGGAAACGTACTAGGTTGGCAAGAGTCGCGTCTCGTGCGTGTTTCCGTTCGCTGACATCTACCGCCTAGTGCCACTTGCTCGCCACCGATGGCGGTGAGCCGTGGTGATGGTGGAAGTCTTCATCCGGGATCTCTGAGTGGTCACGCCTGCTCTAAGGTTGCACTGGGTCGCTGCATATCGTATGTTCCGTTCTATGTGTCTGCGAGTTGGGGTACTGGCTCCCCTGGGTCTGATAGTAGATCGGGACATCGAATTCCCTGGCGAGTTTTTTCGGGTCTCCGAAATAAAATGTCTCCCTCCAGGTCGGATCACGGCAACAAGGCGACGGCGAATCAGCTCTGAGATTCCACGATCATGGGTGTCCCCAACGGCATAAGGAGCTCCGTCCCTCGTTACCGGGCCGCTGTTCGGTCAAAATGCCGACGACTCATACCATACCACACGAGGCACCTCTCTCTGATCGACCGGACATTTGGTAGGGGACGGACAATCAATATCTAGGAAAGCAGCCCGTGACCTCCATCTCGATGTTTCCGGAACCTCGCTCATGAATGGGGAACGCTGGGCACATGTCTAACACGGAGACATGCCGATTGTAGGGACATGGGTATCATCGTCGAAGGTCCTCCCGACCTTTACTGAAAATCCCCGCAATGGGGTTCGGGCAATCTCAGCCCATCCCTCGACGCCGCGGCGTCGGAGATAAGCGAGCAATATTGCTTTCTCTAGCGACCGAGCCGACGTGAATTGGCTTCTCGGCTACCGAGAAATCTAAGCGGACTATATGGCAGACTAATTAGGTGCCAATGACGTCACGAGAGTTATTTGGTTCCCCGTTATTATGCCTCCGTTTATCCGGAAGATTCCGTCATGCTAGCATTTAGTGACGAGCTCGACATAATGGCCGGACGGGATGCAATAAACAAATACGATACAGAGCAGAGTACTCGCCGATGGAGTCAGAACCCAATCGCGACCATCGTCCAAGGAGGGCGAATAACGGAAGACTCAACGATCATAGATCTCTGAACTCCAGATTCGCTAAGCTTGGTGCAGGCCTTATTCCATCGATCTTGGAAGCAGAAAGTAACAGGCGCGGAAGACGTGATCGGGGCATGAGTCATACTAGCAGCGATCGATCGTCGACGATCCGAGTGCGCGAAGTGCATATTTCGGAAAAGGGAGTGGCAGCCGGGAATCAAAAACCGTCCGATCTTTCGAGACCCAAGTCTCATTTCCAGAACTTAACGCTCACCGCAAAATAAGGAGATCATCTCACGCAAGTATTCCTGATCGCATTGAGATGATCGCGTTTAGATCTACGGGCCGATATGCTTGAGCGGGAATTCCACCTCTTGCTGATAACGCTTGGTGGAGATTAGCGAATATTGGTTGCTAGGAGGATGTGCTCCATAACGGACTGGATCTTGGAACTTAGAACCCAGGCAATTGTGCTGCGTTTCAACGCTCGAAGCGGTTATCGACCCAATTCTGAGCTTTTAGCAGGCCTCCGAGCAAAATTCGAACTCGTGCTCTCATTCTCAACCTTCTCCGAACAGTTCGCATTCTCGAATGAGCAATTGGAAAGTTCATATATCTCTTGCTCACCAACGAAGGCGGAGCGCGGTCCTGGCTATTGTTCTCGCTAGGAACTTCGGATACGATAAGCCGCGGACCGCCTACTCGTAACGGTGAGCGCAACCCTGACTGAAGAATCACGATCTACTCTTTGGAGAGTGGGACAGTGGGGCCTTCGCTCACCCCTTGATGACGGTGAGATTCGTCCGAGGGAATGACTCCTGAGCGTCCTTGCAGCGGCACTCATTGTATTCATCTCTGGCTGGATGGTCGGAATGGGATGTCAGAAAGTTAGCCCCCTCCGACTGAGTTAAACTATGAGCAATCGCGCATTCTTCGAGTGTTTATTCACTATGCGTTGGTGAGCGAAGAATTGATGATCGAATTTCCCATGGTTCTCGACCATGGGTCAAATTCGGTCGATCCAGTCGTCGACCGGCTGACACAATGACTGTCCGATCGGAAAACGAATGGGGTCTTCCCGGTTCCCTTGCACGGGGCTCTAAATGGAGTATGCGTCACCAAAGCGATCGATAACGGGATCCGTGACCTTTCTATGCTGGGCAACCTCCGAGCTGTCATACAGTGGAACAATCGAGAAATTCCACGCTCCTACCTTGTATTGATCGGTTGGCTTCGGAGGAACGCTTGCGCTCCGCAATCTACTCCACCGTGCAGAATCCCGTCACTCATCTCTATGCGGCGCGAAATAATTCGATGATTTTTGCGATGAAAAATAATCGCTTCTAGATTTAGAATATTTTGCGTCGTGATCCCTCGCCGGAGCCAAGTAGGGGGAGGAGCCCTAGTATGAGATACTTTGGGAAAAAAACATGAATCCCACATTTGGGGAAGAAAAAATACTATTCCATAATTTGAGAATTCTCCCCTACCTCTCTTCTGCTCAGCCGCGTCTGCCTAAATATCGATGTGGAGGAAGCATTCCCTCGGACGAATTAAGGAGTGAGTTTCCTCACGACCACGAATCGGAATCTGAGCCTAGCGGCGTGCGTTCTCGGCGGGTATTGTTCCGTCCGACCAAATCACAAGGCATCGGCGGTTTCTCTGAAGATCTCTCTGCAGCGTGACGGTTCCGAATTCGCGCAGAGATCGGTCCACTGGAAAATTATGAGCAGAATCTGAAGTTTTGGAAAGGGGAGGAATCTGGCTCCTCTCCATTTCGCCCCTCCTCCAGGGAATCTCCTACGCCTGCACGGAGAATCAGCTTATCGCTTGTCGTGCCTCCACTTTTCTCTAATCTGCGATGGGAGGTTCACGATGAAGTAGCCTGCCGAGCACGCTCCCCAAGACAAGGGCAGCGGATTAGCAGGTGGATGGACTCACCAAACCCACGCATCGTGGAACAACTGACCGGGATGGGGTAGCTCCGAGGAGCAACAGCTGGAGTAAGCTTTCGTTTCCATTCCGGCTTCGCCGTGCAACATCTCTGCGTCTTCCTTCGCATGGGATCCTCAGAGGAGGACTCGGGTTTCAGCTTCGGGAGCTGACGAGACTGGATCTGGGTGAAACCGGCGCGTCATTCGTATCCAAACCGATAATCATCGTTCCGCCGAGTCGGGAGTGTTTCCTTCCGTATCTAATCCGCCACGCGACCTCAAACCCTGGGAGAGCCCCACGTACGCGCGGCACGCAGCTGCTCCTTCGAAAAACACCTCATCATTAGTTCTCTCTAGCTCATTAACCCTCGGAGCTGGGAGGCGATCCGAAAACAAACACGGTCACCTAAATGAGATATTCTCTCGGTTCCACCGCGGTTATTGCTTTTGCCGCATGGGGGCAATACTTGGCATCCCGGAGTAATTGGTTAGGATGATCAGCGATCTCTCTCAATAATAATCATCGTCGGATCCCGCCATTATCTGGGCTGATACTATCCAGCTGTGCTCTCATAGAGGGGTAATGAGCTTCTCCAGGAGCTCCATTCCTCGGCATCTAATTGCAATAAGGAAACTCCTGGGAATTTCAATCTGATACCTGGGGACGGTGACCCCAGAGAGCTCTGGAGAGTGACAATTTTAGCTTATGACGATGACTCGTATTTCATTTCCCATTCCCACGGAGACGACTCAAAAACTGAGCAAGTGTCGGACGGGTCGAGAATTCTTCAATTCCACTCTACCCTCCCCCGAGCTAGGAGCTGTTCTTAGAATCGTCGGGGTCTATAGATTGTGGATGCTGGCGTCGGAGGGGTAAAGGACGCACCGAAAAAAGAGCCATGCTATCGTGACCTGGAACGCGCATACATCCGAGCTCCCTGTTTCCCTACAGCTTGTTTCCGCAAGTCCGGGGAAGAAGTGAGAGTACTACACACATACATATGTTGAAAGAGGATGATTACTCCGTAGGTGTCGAAGGAACACGGAGTCTCGTTTTCTGTCTCTGCGTTTTCCGCACCCGAGTGGAACAAGCTGTTATCCCTTTTGGGACAAACTCACAATTATGTACTTGATTGGGTCTAAAGCTCCTCTGGATCGTCCTCGTCTCTGGGGGCTACGGCATCGTCTCGTTGGTAAATTGCTCCGCTCCTCGAGTCAACTGAGATGATCGTGAGGGAATCTTACTCCATTCCGATCGAGAGCAAACTTCTCTAATTTCTCTCCCTTTACAGGTGGAAAATACGACGGGGCTTCTCTCGAACATGGAGAGGCTTGCGCCTTTTGAAATTCTCCTCGGATTTCTATTGCTCTCCGCCTTACCCGCCAGTCTCGGTAAGCTTTCCGGGATGAATTCTTCGCGGTTAATCGAGCTGCGGCAATGCAGAGCGGTGGCTATCACATGCTCGACTTCTTGTCTCGGCGGGAAGTGGGGAAGGAGGACCCCTATTATGGGAATGCCCGCTTATTGCTCTCGCTGAATCTGACGGCTCAAACCGACGGGAGGTCGAGTGGTTAGCGCGTTTGTCAATACTCGTGCAAACGTGCGTTTCACTTCGTGAAATGCCGCAACGACGCCGCTCGCGCGGGAGGCGGTGTGGGTTCGATCCCTGCTGCCGGAAAAAATTTCCTTACGGAAACGCAGGTACTCGGCCTTGATCCGACTGGGTACATTTGCTCTATGGATCCGTCCTCGGAAGCAATGTGAATAACAGAACCCGTGACATGGAAGCTTGGTTCAGCCCGAGAAAGTTGAATCTGACGGCTCATCGGAAAGTGGATGACTGAATCTTCTTTTCAGAGCCCGTGACAGCTGGCCAAAGTGCCTTGCTTCAACAGCTTCTTGAAGGCCGCGAAGATAGTCTCCATACGTATGAGGAGGAGGCTTACGAAACTTGCAGACGCTATGTTGCCCTGCACGACGCGAGCAGAGCGGTGGCCAGTCAAGCATTCCAAGGTGAATTGAATTGGACTCTCAACTTTCAACTACGCGCGCTAGTTCTCATAGACATCGCTCGACTAGATCATCTCGTCCCCATGAGAGATGTTAGACTCAAGCTTGGAGAGCGCGCGCAGCCTGCCAGCTCAAATCGCGAGTTTCGCACGTTTGAGTCGAGCAAGAGCCCGGGCTTGCTCTGCTGCGAGGACGAATTAAGATCAACATTCAATGCAGATGATGTTCTGACGAAAAAAAAATCCTCTCCCGGACTCCCTAGACCCGACAGCCCCCTGAATGATCTGGACTGGCTATCGAGTGATATTATTGGATAATCGGACTTGTCTTGTATGTGAAATTATCCGAGAGTGAAATTGGCTTTCAGCAGGTTCTTCCCGCGAGGCGACGAGTTTGATGCAAGCCGACGAAGAAGAGCCTCAACAGGGACCGAACCTCGCCAGAGACATCCGGAGACCGCCGTCACGAGCTCGGAGCGTCTCGTTCCGCGGACAAGGTTAGATCGAGTCCCCGAAGCCGCGGTTTCTTGGAGGCTCTGAATTTTAATTTTCCGCAAAGCAGACTGTTTTTTCCTGAGCGCGAGTAAGGCCACCGGTGTCTCCCTACAGCGCGCCTTCACTAGAGAGTAAAAACTCGCACGTATAGTCTCCTCGAAGACATTATGATATTCTTCTACAATAATAATTATCCGCGTCTTCTCCCGAATGAAAAGGCAGACTCGAGAACAATGGTCTACACATCTCAGCAAAGGATAATATCCGTCTTTTTCCTGCCCTAAAAGTGTTCCCTGACCAATACATGCGGTTTCTCCCTTTATTTGCCTCAGGCAAACAGCTCGCCGAGCAATCTGTATGCAGATCACGTCATCAGGCCGTTGTTACATACGGTGGTTCATATCGGCCGATCGGATAACAAAGAATGAGAGCAAATACCTGTTATTTTTCTAGGCGAAGAAGGCGATTTCGGCGGCTCCCACGACATCACTAGGATCGTCACTTCGAAAAAGTGAGTTACACTTGTTTGCTCGAAAGGTCGAGAAACGTCATCGGCATTGACCTTCTTTCGCGTACCGTTAGGCCGAGCCGCCACCACGATGAACCTCTGATCGGAAAGGATCTCTCACGGCGTGGCGGGCCTGGATTCTCGTCCGATTTTCGAGGGATTCCCGTTTCCTGACTCGGAAATCATGAGTCACATGCGAGGGGCAGGGTCAAGATCGGAGGTCGTCGGAGTAGATCCCCTAACCGTGGGAGGGAGCCGTCGTAGCTGAGCAGAGTTATTTGTGAATACTATCTGTGAGCCATGACAGAATATAAAAAGCGTGATTTGCCCCATCCCGCGGGGAATCGCCCAGCTCCTCGCAACGACCGAGTTTCACGGTAGAAACGGTCATTCTGAGGCTGAGAGTGATGGATTTCACGATGGAACAGATTTCTGTTCCCCAGCGCTACCGCGCAGAATGCGGCAGGATCAGATGGGCCAAACGAAGTCGCATCAGGGATGCGGACGAGGCGGGTCTGAGCTCGGTCCCAGGAGATGGGGGGGAAACTTACGTCTGGAGAACAGAGAGGCATTATTTCATTCGGATGAGAACACAGAGGACCGTTTGATACTCCCTAGCATATGGAGACCAAGGAGGGTTCGATCACGCACTTGCCGGAGTGGGGAACTGGCTGCTGACGTATCCTTTGTACGGTCCGCTTTTGCTCCTATTCGTAGTTCGAAGCGCGTAGATCGGGACGTCACGTCTCCCGAAAGTTGTTTACGTGGAGTAGGAGAATCGTATAATCCGATAGGATCCGGTCATTCGGGATAGCCAGCGCTAGGGTCTACGGATCCGAGGAACGTCCCATCCATAGAGAGGATGTAATTTTTCTGAGAACGTCATCGTAGTTCAAAAATCGTGGGCACCATGATTAGCTAATCTATTTTTCTTTTTACAGACGCAGCTGCATCCGTCGCGGTGGCTCATGCGATGCCAGGCCAAGCGACTGCTGTTACCATTCGTCGTGCAGGTGCAATTTGTGGGGTACTAACTGCCGGTGTATGCGTATGGGCCTCCTGCAGAGGTGGATCAATGGCAAGCGCTAAAACGAGTGCCACCTCTGCTGGAAGCTGCTGATGTCCCCCATTCATACCAGAAAAAACATCTACACCATCACCAACAGGACACGCGATGCTTGCTTTTTGCGGAATCCTGAGGGGAAAACCCTGTCGCGCCATTAATGAAACCGAAGCCGGACTTCCTACGGCTGACATACCCCCAAAACAGTGGCCTGCTGAAAGCTCACGAGACAGGAGTGGAGCCCCGAACTGCGAATCGAAGTAACGAGAATCTTGTACTTCCTCCGTATTCCCTTTGCAGCTGATCGACTAGTTAGTGCATCATTAGGAAGACGGGTAGCTAGAAGTGTTGTTCGAAACTCTCGAAACTGTCGAGATGAATGAAGGGACTAGAGACTGAGACTCGAGTGTTCCGCGCGAACATTCTCGAGACAGATGAATGCTCGTGAGGACCATTGATTTGATGATTGCTCTTGCTGTAGGTCGACTCTGGGTCGTTAGGTCGACGGGGATAGATGCTTTGGTGCGCAAACAGATTCCTCCAGATTTTATTGATGGAAATACCTATTCCCGATCCGGATTCGCATAGTGACCCGATCGTTTATGGTCGATCGTGTCTGATACGAAAATCCTCTCTCGAAACGACATCGACGGAAAGCGGTAAGCGGAATCGGCTTCCACATCTTGAGTGCGCCCCGTTCGCGCACCGAAGTAGTCGTCCTTCGTCGTAAGATCTACCCCTTGTTGTCGAAGTACGGAGTCTTGAGTCGAGCGATGGCATAGGAGTCCTCATATTTTCTTGGAATTTCACGGCGTCAATCAACGAATCGCCCGAAAAGCTCGAGCTCCGGAACTGCATGTTCTCGAATATCCCGCCTTTGTTCCCCCGATTGCCAAGTTGTTGAGAATCATTCGCAATACTCCCGCATACTTATTGAGGAGGCGTCGCCTTCGTTTTCATTCGTCGGCCGGTATGACCAAATCGAGTATGAAGTATCATACATAACGAGAGGGAATTATATCGTTCGGCGACGAATAAAAGAAAGAGCTTCGGACGCGCATGTTATGCGAGCTATGACCCGAACGACGTAACATGCAACATCTCCTCCATTTGCTCATCGAATATTGTACGCTCGAAAATTGATGCATTGCTGCTTGACCTTGGAATTCAACGCTTCATACTGTAATGATAGGCCAGAGCAAGGCGTGCGCGAGCGCGGAGCGCTATATTAGAATTGCTTATAATCGCTTCCGTCTGCCGTCAAGCTTCACCCAGGAAGCAGCTTAGGAGAGTTTCGCCTGAGTTGGATTGGATCCGAGAGAATCCGGGAATTAGTGTCAAGTCTACAGTCGACAAGGAGATGACTGCAAACCAGTCTATGCAGGGAGTTTACTCCTGAGTTCAACAGAGTTTTTTTTCCTCGAACGAGTTATCATATCGAGCGAGATATTATCGCAGAGCGATACACCAATACCCAAAACCCAGCAGTTGCTGAATCATATACTTCATCTGAATTTTCTCGATGCGCTCCAGGAAGTTTCTCCATTAACTCTGAAAATGGATATAGCACTGAAAATAAATGGTTTATTTTTTCCCTCTTTTGTCGACAGTCGTCTGCCTTCCTCGATCGAGAGAAGTCCACGTTCTGTGTGACTCGATTTAATTATGTACAATTAGTATATACAATAAAGTGCTATAATAGTATATATATTTTATGTGACCGGTGTCATCACTCATTGCATCGGAGGACCTGCTTGCTCCGGAGAAACGATCGCGAGCTCAGACACGAAAATCAAATCAATGAGCGAGTCGACTGGCGGCGAGCTCCTGTCTGCCAAAAAGTTGTCGTTCTACGATAAAAACATTGATTGGATGAAACTAATCAGATACGCAATCATCCATGCGGGAGAGAAGTCTCGGGAATTTATTGCGGTCCGGGAAAGTTCAGCTTTCTTTGCTTGTCTTACTCCGGCACAAAATATCACGGGGTGACGATGGCGACCCGGGAACGTAAATTCTTGGAGTTTGACGCCAGTAGGTGGATAAATCATTGGGGAGCTTATGCAAACCGCATAAACATAGACTCTTAATTTAGGCTCAAGCTCCACGGGTAGCCGAGAGCTGGAGGTTTCGTCGGGCCGATCAGTTCACCGTCACACCCGACTGAGATTATCCGTCTGTCAAGGAAATCATTCAGACGATTCGCATGGGAAAATGCTCGGGAGGAGCTCCTGAGCTCATATAAATTACCCGAAACCTCCGCAAAAAGCTCCCGATGGCTGGGCGCACACCCTCGGCGGGATGAGTTCGGTCACACCCTCGTGATCTGAGCGTAAAAAGGATCTTCTGGCGCGACGATTCCGAAAGCCGAGATTCGGGCCCGAATATTCCCTCCTGCAACGACGAGACGGGTCAATCACGAGCTATCCACCGGAACGGCCCTGCATCGATTCTCGCCGATTTCGAGCGTTCCAGCTGGAAGAGCTCTCCTGGCGAGGAATCTACCCAGAGCCTACGAGGACGGTACAATCCTGGGCAAGAGTGTGTGTGATTCTCGTCTGTCCTTTCTTCCACGCTCTCATAATGAAATAGCTGTTCCCGAACCCAGGCAAGGAGTCACGTACTCTCTAACTAAGAGCAGCGTAGCCTCTTGTGTGTTTACGGAAACAACAAGCGCGTTCTATTTCGTCCTTATGGCCCGCCCCAGCTAATCTCACGCTTGCGGTGCAACGAAGTCACTTCAACGTGAGGAACTCGTTTAATTAGAGTATTCACGGAGGTCACAGGACTGACCCTCCTACTAATCTGATCTGACGGTGAAACAAACTATTGTCCCACTCTCTGTCGTGCAATTTATCGTCATAGACAATGTTTCGTTCATGTATGGTTGCTGAAAAGTTTGCGCTGACATTTCGGAGTGCGCCGAATCAGTAGACGGCCTTGCAGGACGTTGCTGATAATATCGAACAAGTCGAACGGTGCTACGATTGTTCGGCTTTCTTAGTACGATCGTACTTTTAGACGATTTTCACCGGGATCACAGCGGGATCACGAAGGATTACATCGACTCCCTACTTCTCATGGAATTACAGTCAAGGCGTCCCATTGCGTGGTCGACGAATTCCACTTCGTCGGACTGCGTCGTCACCGAGAGCAGATGTCGATTCCAAAGATTTGGGTTGAGCACGGCGAAGGACATAGCCCAGGCCTTGGGGGAGTGGGAGTCGGGAGTAATTATTGTGAAAGGTGGACGCCCTGGTCCACTGCGCCGTTTTTCGGATTTCGGCGATGTCGACCTCTGAAGCCCTGACCAGGAATGACGGAGAATGGTAAGCGTGCCTGCTAGATTTCGGGAGGCCGTGAACGAGACTGAATTCCCACTGATAGGCAATGCGAGACTGTGGGGGATACAGCGGTTCAGCAATTTCGCTCCCTCGAGCGGCTGAGGTGAGCAAGAGAAGAAAAAAGCGCGGTACGCAGCTCGTGACATTGTCAAGGATTCGGATGGTTCCCATGAGTCCATGAGAGCTTGGACTTGCTAGAGATCCCACACTGGAGGTCGGAGCTTCAATGGCGGATTGACGTGGAAGATCCCGCGCATGAATCGCCGCACGGTTGGATGGGCCCCCATTCCGAAAGAGTCGATCGCGACCAGGCGGATCGATCGGGACGGATCAACTGACGAGTACGACCACCCGCTCCTGGCGATCTCGGCCAGAGATTTACAAACTGGGTTCACACAGCGGTGAGGATCTCTCATTGATCGAGCAAGAGGTCTTCGAAAGACGGAATGAGTAGCAGATGGGCACGGCTTCGCTGTAGAAGTCGCGGAGAGCAGGGATGTGAAGGCCAGAAAGGGCGGGATAATTATTTATAGATTACAAGACGGTGCGATCAACTGGTTCGGAAAGAGGGAAACCATAGAGGTTGACTCGTGAATCCCACCGAGATAAAAACGCGTCTACACTAAACGCAAATGAGCCCTTCTCGCCAGCTGAAGTGGCTGTCGACGGAGAAGGAATCTCACCGGATCAGCAGCGTCTGATTTTCGCCGCAAAGCAACTCAAGGACAGTCGCAATCTGATAGGGCACTACGTCCAAGACAAGTCAACCCTTAAGCTCGTCCTGAGCCCGCGCGGTGGCGTAGGTCGTTTTCAAAAGCCAGGAGACCTGTACAAAAGTTCTTCATCCTCGTCGTCGATTTAGTCGTCGCCCGAGGCGGAATGCGTTTCGAATGTACCGTGGAGTCTCGCCTTTGAGGGACCTTTTGTTTCCCAACGGCTCCATGTTCAGGGTAATTGTTGTTTGTTTGACAAATCTGTATCGAGCCCGTAAAATCTGTTTCTTCCCTCATAGCATGCACCATGTTTTCCTCTCGCCGTCAGTAGGAAGCTCAATGTAGGAAGACCCCTCCTGCGATGAGCCTCGAATCGCCCTTCTGGACCACGACAGCAATGCGTTGTCGTCTCTCGAGAGTACCCGAGTCCGGAACCGCTCATCTCCAAGTTTCCCAGGACCCTCCTCTCCCGCGTTTTCAACATCGGTGATCTCTTCTGCGGGTCGCCGCCCGTAATCTCCTTCAGTCTCTACCTCGGGAACGTTCGTCATGACAGCGTCCGCGATCAGCGGCGAGCCTGCCTCTCGGAGCCTCTTCAGCTCGGTCGCTTCGCCCATTCTCGAAGAGCTCTTCGTGCCATGATCTCCCCCGTCTCTCTTCTCCTGTAGCGAACTAAGGTTCAATTTGTTGTCAGAGTAGGCATTCAAGATTCCCGGGAGACGTCGATTGTTGCTGATTCCTGCGCGTTCGGGACTCATGCCGTAATCAGAAACGCGACGATCCGGTGAACTCAGCAGAAAATCGAGCATCAGTCCGTGAATGGCAACAATTGATGGGAATCCCTACCACGACTGGGGATTCCGCAAGCTCGTGATCCAAGAAGCGTTGAAGAAGGCACCGGGAACTACTGGATGCGCGCGAAGAGCTGGAAATCGCTTTACGCGTTAAGGTGCCGGAACCTTCGGAACT